ATATTTTTTGCGATTCTTCTAGTAAAACATTGTTTTTAAAGATTAATTTATTGATTTCAAGCACAAAAACAAAATAATTCAGGCAATTTTCTTTTTTGTTTTAGAAATATTGTATACCTATTTTATAATTTCGCTACTTCAAAATAACAATTTCTTTAAAAATTTCAATCTAAAATATGATTTGATGTTCATTGATAATTTTTTCATGAAAAACATATTTTTCACATATTGTGACTTATTTAGAACCAAAAAATTGCGATTCTAATGATTGGTTTCTATTAATTATTATAGTGATAGATATTGATCATAACTATATTTATATCGTTAGTTTAAAATTTAAAAGAAATATTTGGTAGAAATTAATAATTTAATGTTTAAATCTTTATTTACCTTGATTAAATATTAAACTAGTCTAAAATATATGAGAAAAAATTTAAAATAACTTACTTCCTCCAATTCGTGTTGAACTACTTGAATTTTCGAAATAGTTAGAATTAGAATGATCTCTTGATCTACGAAATTGCTCATTTTGTTCCATATTATTTGTTTCTAAAATAATTCAAGTATAACAGCAAATTACAGTTTAACTAAAAATGGTTAATTTAAATTAAATTAAAAATAAATAAATAAAACAAACCTGTTAACGCTGGAGGTATCGATAAATGGTGACGACTACTGAAAACTCGACTAGGTCTTTCCATACGATTAAGTTCTTCCAAATCAATCTATAATAACTAATATGTTATTATTCATATGAACTATATAACTTAATATAACCATTAGGCGTTTATTAAAAAATAAAATTTTTATTGCTTAAATGATTTTGAGTATTTCATAATATTGTTATACCGACCTATAAAATRTCCTATTTTTCTTTTATCAATATCCAGACCCACCTATTTTTAAGTAGTTGCGTGAGCAACACTTGAACCTTATGTTACAAGAACTGATGACTATAATATTATTCTAGAAACAAAGAATTAAGATAATTTTTTGACAAAATATTTTTCTACTTATCTACAATAATTAGACTTAGACATAATATTATAAAATTTAAATTATATACATTAGATACACAAAACATTCTTAAATAATTCAATATATATTTATTTGATCAGGTGTAGTTATTAGGGTTTGATAAACCAGAAAGTTAAAAACAAAACAACTACTTAGTAATTATAGAAATTGGAAATAGAAATAAACAATAGTATATATAAAATGTAGAATACAGTAGGGTCTTGATAATCCGAACGAGATTGGGAAAAGGGGTTCAGATTAGAGATTTGTTTGAATTACCTAGGGTTTAAAAAAAAAACATCAATTTTATTGTAATTTAAAATATGAAATTTTATTTTTATTTTTATTAATTGTGTAAAAACTAGTTATTTCAAAAGACAATGAATATATAAAAATATTGATTTTTTTTTTTTTTGTACATTGGTTCCCATATTATGGATTAGTATGCCTTGTCCCACATAATTGAAAAATTGTATAACTGGAAAATATTATTTATAAATACATACATATGTACATATTATGGCGATAAGATAATTCTCAAGCCCGTTCAAATTAGCTTGTGTTCGATTATCGAGACCCTACTGTATTAACAAAATTATATAAGTACACCTAAATATTTGTTCCAATAAGAATACATTTATTCAGACGATATTTTGAAATTATTTCTGACTTTAAAATAACACAAATTGAGCAAGTATGTTGCTGTGTGATTTCTTAACAAAAAAAACATATCAATGAAATTCTCATATAACGTAAAAAAATATAATCATCTTTAATTGTCTTATACAGAAAAAAATAATACATCAATAACAATATGGGATGATATTGAAATATTTAGAAGAATACGCATCAATATAAATTAAATAAAGATATAGATTCAACCAGGTAGTTTAAAATATATTTACAATAAAAATTCATCCAAAACTAATACATTAGGCGTCAGTACAGTACTGTTAGCACTCTTTATACCAGTTCAATATATACATAAAAAAGTATACAACTACATTGAAAAACAATCACTAAACAACTAATAAAATAGGCAATAAGTACCTACTATAAAAATATATAATTTTTACCAAATTAGATCGTCGATTCGCATTAAGTCGTATGTCCACAGATTCGTTTTCGTTGGCAGACATTTTCATACAACAGGACTCAAGAGTCAAAACTACATCACACCGATKTTGAGTAAATGTTATAGCTATGAGCTAGGTACTTTGTTGAAAAAACGGAAAATAGAACAAATGAATCTAGCAGATACGTACTCTATTTTCAAATTGCATTAGTTCATAGTGAAACAAAATTTAAAAAACATAGAATAATTATTATTCATAATATTCTTAAAACATTTACATTCACTGTACACAATATTTAGAAGTTAGAATAGGTACCTCTTTAACTAAAAACTTCAAAATATAAAATAGCTGAACCTATCACGCTATCATTATTTAATCATGTTCATCATACACTTGTCACTTTGTCCAACTTTATAAGTCATAGGAAATTAAGGAGATAGGGACGTAATCGTTAACGCAATAGATCTAATTTTCTAAAATGTAACGCGCAGTATGTACAATGGTGAAAAAGAAAAACAATGTCAACAACAATACGAATTTGAATCTTGATTGCGCATCCCCACTTTTTCTGCTGCATTATAATTTATAAGCATGTACTACGTCGTGTTGAAGACATTAAGGTGACTGATATCTATTGCGCACGCGTAATCATTATATTTATAATACTAAATAAAAATATATAATATACAGAGTGTCCCGCGGGCCGCGAAGATTTACCCATTGCGATATCTCTTGAGATAATAAATATATCATAAATCTGTTTTTTTTATTAGACTTACCACTTTTTTTTTTTAATTAAAATTAAAATTTTGGTAAAAAAGTTAAAAAATTAAGATACCTATTTTATAGTTTATTTAGCTAAAAATATTTACCTTTCGACGTTTTATTTTCATTAATCACATGGCCCACTATATAAAAATTAAAAATGTTTCTATGAAAGATTCCACAACCACCTAAGTACTCATTCGAATCCACTTATCAAAAATTAGCCTGCACTACAGTTCCTGGTAATCTTCCAAGACGCCTAAAGCGCCAGTAATGTCGTGATTTTATACAAAAATTAATAAATAACAAAATATTAAAATAATRATAGTTAAATATAATAATCAATTAACCATAGGAAGTATCATCATTGGGTGGCTTCTTCCATCACAATAATGTTCTTATCAATTGCATACTCTTAGCATATATTCTTATTGTATAATGATACAGATTGTATAATATTACTTGTAAAAAATAAAAATTAAATTAAATCAGTTTAATCACATGATTTTTAATTATTTTTTTAGTTTATTCTGTTTATAGATGACACAGCAAAAAACTGGTTTTTATCCGGGCGGCGAGTCCTCCTCTACGGCTAATGTGGGTATCATCATGCGCGCCCTGTATATACATCTAAGGCACTATCTGTTTAATGATTTAAGGGGTGAACCATGCGCCGTATGCGACTGTGCGAGATATACATTGCACGCAAGCGCATTTGCCACAATTCACTTACCTCTTGTTATGCTGGCTTCAAATATTTATTCAGTTTCCAGTATTCCAGTAGGTCTATCCAATATCCATTGAATATGATCTAAGGATTCGGCGCAGGCAACCATATTGCTTTTCTCCGTCATTGACATACAATTATATTATAATACATTTATGGTATAATATATTAAAAGAATATTATTATCAGTAGCGGCTGCCCCATGAAAAATTAGGGATGGGTGTCTCAATGACTTGCAGTCTTCAAGCCGG